AGTTTGAAAGATGATGGTAAATTTATTGGGTACATTTGAAACGATGTTTGTATCATTTAATTTTGTAACACGACCCCGTTGATCGTGTGCATAACTTTCTCAAGCGTTCAAAAAAAACTGTGAAGAGAAAAAACTCAACCAAGTTGCAACACTTCTCTTTCCGTAAAAAAAAAGACTTCAAGTTGAAGGTTGTGATGTGGTGAAAATCACGACTGATTTTTGAAGGAAGTTTTTGAGAACATAGACCGACTTGATATCACCACTTAATCGTGCTCTTCACCACCTTTCTCACACATTTTAATTTTCAAAAAATTTGCACAGAATTTTGGTAGCATTTGCATAATCCACCAGCTTAATCGTACTGAAGTGTACCAGTGTTATTTTTTACAAGGCTAGCCATATAAGGGCATAACGGATCCGAATATTTAATATGTGAAAATAGATCTTTGAAAAGTGTCTGTGTCTAAAAAAATCTCCGAACATGGCTATTCAACTTGTTGAATTTCATGTTTGGACGCAAAACGAAAAATTTAATGATCAGCCTGGTGTTTGAGTCAATTTCGACAGTTTATCATCGATTAATTTTTTCTCTAACATTGATTTTTTTCTCACTACACTCAAGCTCAGTATCCAGACGTGCTTAGACATATGCTCAAAAGAGGTCTTTTCTCAGGTCAATACTTCAGATCCCGTTTCACATACCATTATAGGACGATGGCTGTAATTTTCTTCCATGGATGTTTGGGCATCACACTCACAACGCATTCGCAGAAATTCCCGCTAGAAAAGAGGGTGAAGAGGGGAAATTGCACAACTTAAGCTTTCTAGTAGTGAACCTATAAAACGAGAAGAAAACTTGCCAGGTCTTCTTCTCTCCTCCCCCCCCCCCCCCCCTCCCCCCTAAATAGAATCAGTGGCCAGTTTCACACACGTATAAGAGATGCGCATCTTTGCACGCGCTCAACTATGCTCTCTATGTGTTCGGGTATTGTATTTGTTCTCGTTGAACAATATTTGCGTAACACCTCTGCGCTGCTGGCGCTGCAAAGACTCTGATGACTTTAACTGTGGAAGCTGACAGAATTACTGGCTGCTTACAAGTGTGTAAAACTCGAAACCTTATACCATCAGAGTTCAAGTAAAAAAAAAATTGGTGGCGATGGTAAGGGCGGTAAGGTGTTTGCGCGACCAGGTAAAGTGTCCTACGTTGAATGAAGAATTGACTCGGGCTCAGTTTTTCTCCCGAAAAAACTTGTAATACTCAACCTATTCAACCACTCTAGTCTGAGTTGTCAGCTCTCACGCCATCGACGAAAAAACTCCTCGTTCATCCGCGACTGTGCTCACAATCCACACTTTCTCAGCTTGGTGTCTTTTCGCTTGCTTAACCGCACTTTCTAAAGTGTGAGAGTGCTTTAGTTCTCCTCTCAATGTACAATAAACCTTTCGGCTTCAATGTGTTGTCCGCTTTGTGAAAAAAAGAAGCCGAACAAAGCCGCCGCCGACAAGACCGCTCGCGTGCCGGGGCAAAAATCCCGGTAAGACGCGCTGACAAGCAAAAAGCACCGTCTTAATACATCCGAGCACTACCACCCCTTTAAAACTTCCTCATTCGAAAAAAATAAGCCGTGCCCGAATGTATTTGCAAATCTGTAAGGGTAAGCGTTCCTCATGGGTGAATATAGCTTCTCACATTTCACGCAAAATTTCGATTTTGTCATCTTATGAGAAGAGTTAGATAAATGACAGGACTCTATAAATACGTGGTTTGGAATTGCTGCGATTTTGGAGATAGTCCCACACGGTTACGGTAAATCATTCCAAATTGACTTCTCGTGCGCCACGAGTAAGTAATACCCAAAAGCTCAAAGATAGGGCCTACCAGCAGATTTCCGTCTAAAGATAAGTTCGGACTTATCTGACAAGATTAGAGGGTAGTTATTAGGGTTGGCTATTGTATGGTATTGTTTGGAAAGAGTAAATCAAGGAGAATAGCAAAGGTGTGTTTTGTTTATTTCAAGAAAATTTTCTCCATGACGAAGTGGTGCAGGGAAGAAAAATAGTCAGATTTTTCCACCAGTTTTTCAAAAAAAAACACACCCTGAAAAAGAAACTGAAGCTGGGTGTAAATTGTGAATTTAGTAAGCACACAATAAAACTTCAAATTTTCACAATTTGCATGGCCGTGGATGGTCAAATTTAAACTATTTGGATTTGGAAAAACTGACATCCACGCGCAATTGCCTGGAAATTCTCACATTTTTGTTGCAGAAATTCACAAACAGCAAATCACAATCTCCATTGTGGTTCGTGTAACCAAAGGTTGTAGGCACTAAACACCAATTTGCTCATCTGTGCACTCATTATATGCTGAGCTCGAAATTTAGAAAATCAAGAAAATGGTTTGTTTAGAAGGCTGCCCATATAAGGGCATCATTGTCATCATTGATGACGAAAATTCTAGAAAACCAGATATGTTAGGGTAGAGGTTTGTAACCTCCTCACCAAAGAATCTTTCTTAAATATCTGTTATATAAAATGTTATGAAGCTCTGATTTTTAGAAGGCTGACCATATAAGGGCATTATTGTAATTTACTGATAACGAAAATTTTAGAAAACCAGATATGATAGAATAGAGGCTCGTAGCTACCTCCTCACCAAAGAATCTTTCCAGATTGTCTGTTATAAAATTGTTATAAAGCTCAGTCGCATGTCAAAACAAACTTAGTTATTAGCCAACCATAAAATGGAAAGAAAAAGGACTTATGTGTAGGATGGACTCATCTAAAGGGCCTTTCGGATTAAAAAAACCGGACTTATCTGAAAGGTCTTAGAGTAATCTCAAAGCGAAGTGATTCGAATGAAGAGGATGGAGATTAGAAAGCTAAAAGTTGTTGTTCGTAGACAAAAGTACTCAAAGTCCAATTAACTAAGCTCTCATATAAATATTGAGACAGACGTCCGCCCCTCAGAACTTGCGCACAGTATTTTCAAAAAAAAGTCAAGTGATTGCTCAGAGAACACAAATTTTCATTAGACCGCTTTGCAAACAATGACATACACTAACTGAGCACCGTTTTTTACAGCATTCTGCTTTGACCAACAGAAGAAAAACGAAAAGAAAATAAAAAAGGAGAACTTTACGAGGTTTCTCAGATTATCGCTTCCATTAAGGCAATGGAAATGATGTTTTGGATTGTTTCAATTTCGTAAAAATAAAAAACAGCGAAACAGTCGAAGTCACCAGAAATGCTTTCGCACCACAAGAAAACGAATTTGAAAAAATGCCAAGTTGAACCAAAACATGTTAATTTTTCCACACTTGGCAGGAAGACATTCATAGTAAACAATAAAATTTTCTGAATCAAAAGTACTTGACGGAAGTGCGAAATATGGATTTGAATAACGGGAAGATACCAATCTTTCTAAAAAAACTGCGAAAAAATTGAGTACAATTTTTCTCCATTTTTCAAAATTTTAATTTCCAAGAAATGAAACAAGTTTGTGTGTAAATAGTAGAATTGCTACCCATGTCATGGTAATTCAAAGCTTGCGTTAATTTCACGTTGAAATGTCTTAAGAATCTACTAAAAAATGTGCTTTCAAAAATGAGAAGAAATTCTCACATTTAGGTCTATGGCATTTCCAGATTGCAAAGATTTCATGGTTCGGTGTATAGAAAAAACTACTACTCGTCCGTGCATTACTGCCATCCTACTATAATAACGCGCTAAGGCCGTCTGTTTTTTTGTGTGTGTGTCTGTCTGTAAATCTGTCTGTCACGAAATTCGGAGGAAGAGTTTCAGCCAACCCCTTGAGCCCAAATTTTGCATATTACATCCTAGCAGCAGGAAAGTCCATTGTGCAAAAGCACAAGCGGATCCGATAAGTGGATCCCCTAGAAATTGCGCCTGAAGCGGGTCCACTTAACTTCTGGCCGGCAAAATTGGGTCCGTATATAAACTTTTTGCAAAGTCGTGGATATGTTTGACAAGCTAATGTACAAGCCATGGACTTTAGCCCAAAAAATTCGACTAAAGTTGGTTACTTTACGAAGATGGCGCCAAACAGAATTAGTTGCGTAAATGTTCAATTTCCCAAAATTTTACCTGATCACTTGAAAAGATTTTTGCACAGTGATGTAGCCCACGATGATTATTACCGTTATGGCGACTACCAACCCATAAAAAGTCCACAAACCTACTCAAATTTGCATTTATTCTTCCGAGAAAAGTTTCGTCCTCGTGAGAATACCGATCACACGCAAAAAAGCTTTAGGAATGAGTAGCTGTCTACAAATCATTCGTGATAACCTGTATAACGCGGTGAGTTTCAATGTCGCTATTATGCGGGAATGAGTAAGGCATACAGAAAGTAGGGCCAGTGCGAGCCTCTGCGAAGCAGAGGTGATGCACTGGTCAAATAATAACTTGAAAATAAAAGTCATTGTGAAAGGCATTAATTGCCTAATTTGCTTTACCATGAAAAGTTTTATGCAATTGATATGCGACGATGAGGTTCGAGTTCTTCATCGACATACCAGAAGAACACGATTTTCACCATCCCAGAAGATGACTTCAGAAGAATACTTCATCGAATTGAAGCATTTGCTACAAAACAATTCAGTCTCACAGTTTGACGATCTTTTGGAAAATCAGAGTCCTACTTGAGCTACCCTCACGATTAAATGACGAGAACCATAGGACCACTTCCCAGGTAAAATGGAAAGAACTCTTTATCGTGTATGCAGCGAACGAAAATTGCAAATAAACATTATTTGAACTAACTATGCCCTATATATGGCCTTATCGCTTCTTGCAAGCGTTCTTTTTTCTGCAGCGTTCGCCGTCGCCGAGTTGCGAACTCGCGCATCGGTGCTCCGCGGAAGGAGTTCGCGCGGAGGCTGAACGAGGTGGGCGGTGCCGGCCTACGCTTCTCTATTTAAGCTGCAGAACTCCATAACGAGAGACATACACACATTCCTGCACAACTTTTGCAGATGCACCTGTCCACTAACTTATTTATTGCGCTCGCACTCGTTCTACCTGGTAAGACTCTTTTAAATGTTACAGTTCATCTACCATAGGGTTACAGCACATCTACAATAATAAAACTCAAAATTTACCTTTGGCACTGAAGTTTTTCTCGAGCATCCTTTTTTTCGTGAACTTCTTACTAGCAGGTGGAGCTCACCTATTCTTCAAATTATTCACAGTTGCTCAACCTTCCGGAAATAGCAAGAAATTGTTAGCAGAGCGCAATTTCACCATAGAGCACTAGTAGTAGCATTAATTTGCAGTGCCCTATGACGCATCTGTTTTAGAATTTTCAGTGTTATCCACGCCAGCCACTACAGAACAATTACGACAATGGATTTTGGCAAATAAGAAGACAATCTATGGTGAGAATTCAATCACGGATGGAGACCTGGCTGGCACTATCTTGCGGTGAGCAACACTTTTTCCTTTCCACTATCACTTTGTTAACTCATGATAGAGAATTTTTGGTCGATGAAAGTAAGGGACAAGGGGGTTAGAGTTATTCTTTGCCCATATTTTACTGTTCAGATATCGTGGTCAATAAAGCGTAAAAGTGAGGAAGTGGAAATCGTATTCCTGTTTCTCGAAAAGACATATGGGTTTTGGTCTCCGAAGAAAAATTAGTGACATTCACTTCCCATATTTCTCTTATTATCGAAAAAAACTCTGACCAAAAGCTAAAGAAATTTTTGTACCCTGTCCATAACCTCAACTGGAATTTCCATAAAAGCAGATGAAGCTAGAACTCACTTTGAGATGCAGATTCAAGGATAGCGTAACCCTACCGTAGCAATAAGTCCTGGCTACAGTATCTGAGAATTGAAATTTAGATTATTCGGTCTTGAACGAAGCAGCTCGACGACAGAAACTACGGAAAAACCTACAGAGGTGGTCACAACCGAATCTACCACCACTGAATCTCCAACCACTACGACGACATCGGCCACCACAGAATATACTACACCTTCAACTCTTCCACCTGTAAGAGACGGTAAGTCAAAATTGTCTGACCTCATCTACTCCCCCCCCCCTCCTTTCGATTTTCAAAAAAAAACTGCGCAAGAGAAGATGTGAGCAAACGTCGCTAATCAGCTTAACAGCAGAGAGCACGCGCCTCACCAATCACCACCATCACCACCAATCACTACCACGCGAGCCGCGCTTGTTTGTATCGCAGCTTTTTGTCGTTCGCGCATCGTTGGACGCTCGCACCGCTGCTGCAAGCGACCGCGCGGTCAACGCGCTGGACAGCGATTGCACACTTTGTTTGCGTTTGAGCAGTGTGTGCGGTCACACACAACACACACGGCTGAGGCAGTTGGCGAGCGCGATTTCCTGCATTGAACGCTCCCTTGAAATTTGAACTTTACCCGCTGAGGTCGAATTGGGTGCGCGTTGAACTTGAAAGCTTCGTAATGCTTGATTAAGACACTCTACGAAGTTGATATGGATAACGGCAGTTTTATGAGTCAAAATCACAGACGAGAATATATGCAGTCAAATTTCAAATTTTCAAAAATTCAATTGTCATTAGCTGTTGTCACAACTTTTTCCAATCTTCATTTATTGTTTGTAAAATTCACAATGGACACATTATCGAAATATCATAACATCGTGTTTCTTTCGTGCAAGGACCTCAAAACACCATGCACACCTTATTTAACAAGTTCGAGCAAGTTCTTGCGCCAAACTCAGAGGCTAAGGTAATTCAGACTGAGCTTAGAAACAAGATTTAACGTGTTAGCCATATGTATGCGCAGCATTTTTGAGTCGCTTAGCCAGAGAACGCAGATAACTCGTACTGCAATCTATACAGTAATCGGTATCGGTTTCACGCGGTATTTAAAGCGTACCGCGGACGAGTTGACTTGAGGTAACAGTTTCATGCATTTCTCCAAAAAAAAGCGGTAGAGCTCTTCACACGCATTTCTCCAATAATCAGTGGTAGTAATTTATAATCGTGTACAAATTTATTTAATTTCTGATTTGCCTTCACCCTTGAAACCCGCCCTTCCCCTGAGCGTTGAATAATGCCGGAGGACGAGTTTTCTCAAAACTCAATTTTCGCAATATGACTACCGGGATTTTAATGACAATTACATTCCTATCCTTTGTTTCATCGCTCTTTTCTCATTTCTTTAATTCCCGCTCCCCCACTTTCTCAACTGAGAGTGCAGCAGATTAACAAGAAAAGTATCTTACTATCGTCACATTGAGACGAGCACATCTACGACGTGATAAACACTCAATAGCCGTTGTTCGAGTGCGAGAGACCACTTCTCGCTCCCGAACGGATGGATATCACGCGTATAGCAAACCTATCCTCTTCAGCCGCAACCGCCTATTTGCGCTGTCAATTCACGTTTCGAAGAGACCATACGAGAAAGTCTCCAATTACGTAACGATCTCGAACAAAAGAATGAAACCATCGCTGTGCAATCCACACTTTTTTGAAACTTGGCGGTTATCGCAACCTTTTCTTTTTTCAACAGAAAATATGCTTGTCACGCACACTTTTACTGCGAGTAATTGTGTCGGGAAAGTCAACAAATAGTACGAGTCATACGCGGAAACTCGAGTTAATCGTCGTGACGTTCACAGAGCGGTTTTTCCGCTCAAACGGCGCAGTTGAAAAAAAGTTATGATAGAGGGCAACTGGCTCAGCGAGCATGGATAGTCTTATAGCCCGAGATTTTATTCAAATTTCCTCAGCTTCAAGAAAACATCCCTTAGAACTTTCCAGAAGCTCAGAAAGGTCAAACGTATAAAAATGACTATGTAGCAGCTTCTTTTCAAAGTAAGGTTAGATCTATTGTTAAGATTTCGATTTTGAAAAGTCTGATAAGTTCAGCTATGAATTTTTACTTCGATTTCATAAATTTTCGAATGCTTTGACGGTCCTTCGTTTTGATAGCCAGACCCTTTCGTAACTATCTCCATTTCCAAATTTTTTGAAAGTGATGAAATTTTACAAAGTTTTGATGCACTTCTGAATTATCTAGAACTTCTTTGGTCAGCCTTTTAGGCTTCAAAAACAAAACTAGTCATTGTTAGACCCTCAGATTGATCCGAGCAGAGGCAGTTACAATCGGAATGTTTACTTTCTCTGCATCCTTAGTTTTTCACCCCATTGTGATTTTTGCAACACTTTCTCAACTCTACTCTTGATTTCTACCAAACCTCATTCACTGAGTGCAAACCCGGAACTTTTAGCTTATTGGAATTACTAAGACCCCGTCGAAGCTTCCGTGTGCATTCCCCATTTTACCGTACCCGACAGTAACGATAATCCCAAAAGCCTTAATCCTTCTGTACTCGTTGTCAATACAATCTTTACCGCACTTCCTCAATTCCACTCTTCTTTTGAGTGTGTGTGCGAGGTGTGATAGCTAGGCGAGAGATGTGGTGCGGTAGCCGCCGAACTATGCATATTTGGCGAGATTATTTGACGCGGCTACAGGCGCTCAGCGCTGCGCTTCACCACCTTCTATGTTTGGGTAAGCAGCCAGGAGACGCGATTAGTACCAGCTATCGTCACCTCCGACTAGCGCTTTGCATTCCAAACACGCACTTAAACTGCGTAAAGGGGCATCTTGAGGTTCCGAAGGGGACGAGGCAACTAAAACCCTACTTTCAGTATGTCCATTCAACGCGGAACCGCTGATGCTTGGTCAAGACTTCGCCTACTGTCGTGCATCTGCCATAGGAGACTGTCCTGTCGGATATCTTTGCGATCAATCTTTTGTGCTTGGAAAATCTATTTGCTGTAGAGACAACCGTCTCAGGCCTATGCCCACTAGACCCGTCATCAGTAAGAATTCACAATTTTCATGGATAATTTCCAATGAGTCCAATTTTTTTCAGTCATGCCCAGCTCGCTGCGTCCACCATTCAGCTGGAACACAATCACACCTACACCATCGCCAAAATGGAATGTTTTCACCACAGTGAAGAAGGCACCATGGTACATCAAAGACAGGTTCGTTGATGACTCATACAGGCGAAGTTCAAAGTAGAATTTTGAATGGCTACTTGAACACAAGGCTTCTTTTTTCAAAAATTTTCGTCCATCACAATTAAAAGAGAAATAATACCCATAATGAGATGAAGACTTTATATGCACTCATGACTTTCAGAACCACATGGCCCAGTGTCTACAACCGCGTCACATCAGAAGCCACCCAAGCTCCAACCCTGACCACTGAGGAAGAGACTACCTCCACTACTACGGAGCCTACCACGACCACAACGGAAGAGTAAGTCTTTAGATTTTTACTTACTTCCATTATGGGAAGAACTCGAAGTTGTATGTCGTCTGAAGTAACGAAAAAATGAAGTATAGGTTAATAGATTGGCAGTTGACTGTGCCCTTGCTTCAAGTGCAATTGTTCAAATGATAAGGGTGCGCAAGTGTTCACGCGCAAATGTTGTTAACACCGCAGGGGCACTATATGACTCTTCTTACTGGCCTATAGATCGGTGTTTTTTGTTGCAACCTGTCAATTACAGCAAAAAATTCTAATCCTCTAGGACCACGACCACCACTACTACCGCAAGCACAACAACTAAGACTGTGAATCCTTGGGCACGTATCTGGTCCACCACCGCGGCACCAGAGAACACAGTCAGCGTTAGTGTACTCCAAGCAGGAAGCCTCCGTCCACTTAGGGTAAGAACTGTACCTTCCCATAATCAGCTCTATCCTACTAATGGCTTTATCCTAGGATGGTCAGTTCGAAACCGTGGGTGCCATCACGCTCATCAACGATAACGGGTTCTTGGTTCTTGTTGATACCGGTGCATCAAGCGATACGGAACGACTTCTTCAAAGTTTGTCTACAGTAGCCATACAGTAACGACGGTAATCCTCAATTAAATCATTCTAGGCTTAGCCAAAGAAAACGTCACACTGGATCAAATCAATACCGTTGTCATCACCCACGGTCATCCAAGCCATATGGGTAACATGAACTTCTTCGCGCAGAAACCAATTCTTTTCCATTCAATGGAGTACATTGGACGTCATGTGACTCCAACGGAGCTTAGAGAGGTAAGGCACAAGTTTGGACCTACTGGTCAAATCCCACTTAGTCCCAAATCTCTTCAGCGTCCTTACCGCAAGCTTTCACCTCATGTTGAACTGTGGAAGACTCCCGGACACACCCAACACGACCTCAGTGTTCTAATCCACGATGTAGCCAGTTATGGAACGATGGCCATTGTTGGGGATTTGATCCCAAGTGAAGCACTCATCAGTGAAAGGGTGAGTGAATTCATGTTACCCTAATATATTTTATGAGCAAATGACCGAAGTTAAGCTCAACTTGCTCGAGATTACGTTAGGTGTCCGCGGTAAGGAGTCAACACCATGAGGAGACGGTGAAAAATAACTATAAACTCTTACTCAATGTGCAAAGCGCGATAGTTTGGGCAAACGGTCGAATCAGACTGTAGCACCAGATTACCCAACTATGTCTCCGAATAATTTCTATAGCCCTTGGCTAAATGCGGACAAATTTTTTCATATCAGAATGACTTCGAGCCTTTCTAGCGCGATATCATGGATGAGGAAGGCGTCTGGGACTCGGCTATCAAGCGCCAAAATGCCAACCTCATCATCTGCATGGCTGACTGGATAGTTCCTGGACACGGCCAACCATTCCGCGTTCTTCCGCACTACAGGTAAATCCAAAACGCTTGAATATGCATATTTAACATCTTCCATTCTTCAGACAAAGAGCTGGTTGCACTCGACTCTTGGCTCAACGACAGAATTCTGTTTAAGCAGTTACTAGACAATTCTGTGTTTGTTGAGAAAGAAAGGAGTACTTAGCTAGTCGCTTTAACGCTGTTTGCTCCTTCATCTCCAGCTTTTGCGTTTTCACTCTTTGCTTTTCACTATTTCGTGCTCAAAGTGACTGAGCACTGCCTTTCAGTTTTGGGCGATTGGTTGTCGCTTTCTAAGTATGTACTATGTACGATGTTTTATGTGATGGCAATCAATTTTGATTATGTTGTTGGATGTGTGCTCCAGAATTTCTTCGATCGCCCCATTGTTCGTTAAGAAGGATTCGACAGTTTCGTTGTTTAAGTGAAGTTGTAGAAATAAAAATTCAATGACAAATAATTGCCAACAAACCATAATTTATGCTGACGACAGCGCCGCGCAATGGTGCGCGACGATCAAAACCTCAATTCTAGAGTGTTTAATCGTAATTTGTGTTCATATGATCTCTTCAGGTTAAGGGTACTTCATGTCGGTCCCGCCCCTCTTTTGGCAAGCTCCGCCCACTAGTCGCCCTCTGCAAAAAAATTTTCGTTCTCTCGCATAGAAAAGGCCGGAAGATGTCCGCAGAACACCAAGCGACGACCCCGCCCCTTCAGTGCAAGCCCCGCCCACTTCTCGAAAATGCCGCAACTTGCACAAATTCTGTTTTTTAAACAATTTCCAGTAATTTTGGCCGGGTCGGCGGGGCTTGCAGGGGCGCAGTCGCCCAGCCCACATGTATTTTTGTTCCCCAGGCATAGTTGGATGCCTACATAAATGTAGGCAGGTCTGAAAATACGGAAACGGTTCGTCCACAGGGACTGACATTGAAAAATGGCTCGCCGTCAACGTGTTAAGACTCTACATTATCCTCTTACACAAAGTCTGCATATCATTATATCGAACAAAAAAGAAATATAAACGCAGAAGATCACTTTATACTGACTGAATATAAACGAAACAATTATAAACACTCTAAAACCGCGGACCTTCAAATGAAGCGGTTTAAAACAAGTTCATACACACCTTGATCTCTTGGTACTTTGATGGAAGAGTGCTTAAAGGCGTAGGGAAAATAAGAATTAGTGAGCAAATAGAGGTGAATAGCTGCATACCCGGTTCTCTCGGCGCCATGAACATTTCAGTCGGAAGAACCCCGATTATACATTTCCATTCCAATAGGACGTCATAAGCATGTAAAAGTTGGAGAAAGTACGGAATCATATCGATTCTATCGATTTACTGCGATCTTCGAGCTGGGAAGCTGAGATAGATCAAGCCTACCAACTGTGGTAAGGTTCATTTGGAAGATATCCATTGCATCGATCGTCATCGACTTTTGCAGCTTGAGCCCGAGTGCCGGGCTCAAGGGGGGGGGGGGGGGAGGGGTCGGAGGAGGATAATCACTACGAATGGGAAAGATAGTTACATATGATGAAGCATGAGATGGTGCCGAAGCCCGGCACAGAAGTCATGAAAGTATGCTGGATTTCGTTTTTGAGGCAGAAAACAAGATATGGTGAAGTTAGTACTACAACGGATCTCTCGGACACAAACAAGGTTAAGTTGGTGTATAGACGACATGCTCTCCTATACCACCATAAGCGCGCGAAATTTGTATGCTAGATTGAATAAAAGTGGTATGTTTGCAGCTCTGAGGCAACCATATGACAGCGAATGTGGACTATAAGTACGATCGGTTCCAAGATTCGCATAAAGGTGCTATAAGAACTTGCGGTTCGTATCATTCTTTGGACCCTAAGGAATGTGCAGCGAGCAAGGTGAAAAGGCCCGAAGATTTCCCACAGCGTCATGTTCTTTGATAGCTTAACAATACATTTATCATGCTTGTCCTAAGTTTGTTTATGTTCGCATATATATATATATATATATATATATACATATATATATATACGTATATATATATAAGTAGTGGCTAGTGTGTTGTAACATTTAATTTCTCTCCTTTCTTTGTGTAGTTGTTTAGTATTTTTGTTGCTCTATTTGCATTTACCATATTTGTCATGATCCCCTCACAGGTTCCTCACAGCGAAGTCATAGCCCTCCGCACAGCACCCCTCACAGCAACTCACAGTGTATCCGGTTGACATATATGGAAGTCGTATTGTTTGTGTATTATTGTCGTAGTCGCTTTATAGTTATTAGTGGCTTTTTAGTAATGAAGTTTAATTACCCAAGTTTGAGGTGCCGGAGCGTGCACAGGAGAAAAATGCGGGAAAATCAACCGCACTTTTCCAAAGTACCAGAGCTACATAGGGCGAATTACTTCCCAGGAATCACAGGTTGTGTGGAAAGCTGTAGAGGCCCAGGATGTGATTGTTCTTACCCTAGCTCAGGATACCTATTCTATAGGATCTACCTAATACTAAACGACGGGAAAATTCACGAATTCTTTATATGCAACCGATGGAAACAAAGAGTGAATCTGCAGTTGACGGTCAACGAAGACAAATTACAGCGAGAGCACAGTTTCTATGCGCTGCCTAAACAACCAAAAGATATATCGCCGTTCACTGTCACTCTTTCATCCATCAGCACTCCGCCCACCCCCATGCTGCACTCAACCTTTCTCAAGATGGAACACGGTGTGCAATCGCACCAACTTATCTCGAACCACCACTAGCGTGCGTTTCACAGAACGACGCCTGAACCTCACCTGAAGTGAGGGAAAAGTGTGAATGCACGCCAGCAGAGGTGAGGATGAAGTGCGACAATCATACAAAAATGAGATGAAAGCCGCAAGCAAGCCTGGCTTCGGTTACTCCTCGAAGCAGCACGTGGTATCCAAAAGAATAATGGAACATACACCACTGGACCTACCCATGGTTAAAGACGAACCGGTGGAGCGCGAAATCGAAACGTCCGAAGGCCCATTGCAATTGAAAAAGAAAGACGAAGAAAAACAAAGCAAAGTGATACTACTCACCGGCGAGGTCAGGATAATAAACGCCGAAGGAAAGCCCAGAGAAGTTGTCGCTCTACTGGACACGTGGTCGGAGCTCTCATTTATAGAGGACCACTTTGCAGACGAGCTGAAGTTGCCAACAGTGGGCACAACAATATTAGAACTGAACACATTCAGATCACCGTCGTCAAAAATGAAATCTTGCGCTTACACGTTTCACACTCATGGACAGAGGGCAAAGAGCACAAAGTACAGCTTTACAGAAACGATTACATCACATGTGCAATACAGCGAGCAAGCTTGGCCAAAGACTATTTGGAATTCATTCGAAAAGGGAATTTCCATCTATCATTGCCAATCAAAGAAGGAGAAGTAAAGCCACAGATCCTGCTCGGTTGCGATTATCTTTGGAACTCCATTGAACCAGATAATAAGCGGAAATTACCGTCAGGACTGCAGCTAATACCTTCCAAGCTGGGATACATTATCAGTGGACAACAAAGACAACACAGCAAGCAAAAATCGGCAATAACATGCACCTTGCAAGGTTATGAAGCCGAGAAGGAGACATGGGAGCAATACTGGTCACCGGAATCTACCGACACTGAAGAGCATACGGGTACAGAATTGCAAAAAGTAAACGAAAAGGTGCTGAGGGATTCCAAAGAAACCATCGAAAAAAGAGAAGATGGATATTACGTTCGTCTACCATGGGAAACAGACCACCCCGAACTTCCGGATAATAAGGCATTGGCCCTCAAGAGACTGAAAAGGTATTAGAGATATACCAAAGGGACACGGACACATTGCAAGCATACGAAACCTTCAAGGATCAATTAGAAAAAGGAGTCATTGAAGAAGTAACCACAGACGGAACCAATGAAGACCATATAGTACACTACCTTCCGCACCAGGCCGTCATCACACCGTTGAAGGAGACAACAAAGATGAGAAATGTCTTCGATGCATCCGCTCACTACAAAGACAGTCCGTGTTTACATGATGTTCTTCATCAGGGACCTCTCATCCTACCGACTTAGTAGGCATCATACTTCGATCCCGATTGCACAGCATAGCAGTAATGTCGGACATCGAAAACGCCTTCTTGCAAGTGAGACTATAAGAAAGAGATCGCGATGCTACTCGCTGCATATTGGTGAGAGACATTGCACAGCCACCAACGCCAGTAAACTTGCTGATCTACAGACTCACTCGAGTTACATTTGGGCTGAATACATCTCCGTTCTTGCTAAGTGCTACAATAGACTACCATCGGAAAGCACAGCAAGAGAGGACGACATGGCACCGAAAATACGGAAGAATTTATATGTGGACAACCTCTTCTTTGGTGCACAGTCGTCCGAAGAGGCAATTGCAAAATACACCCATACAGAGAATCTCCTTCGTGAGCTCAATATGAATTTGAGAGAATACCGATCCAATGACAAATGCTTCAACGAGACTATTGAAGAGGCTGACAGGATGAAGGCCAGCTGTCCCAAGGTCCTAAGTATTCCATGGAATTTAGAGACGGACAAATTTGTCATCAAAGGATCCATGGTACAGTCAAAGGAGAAGCTAACCAAACGTACCGTCACGCAGCAACTGGCGTCAGTATATGACCTTTTGGGATTTCTAGAACCCCTTCTTCTACCTGCAAGATCTTCTTACAGTCTCTTTGGAAGGAAGAGCTGGAATGGGACACACCTCTCAGCACAGCACTGCAAGACCAGTGGCGTCAAATATCGAGTGAAATATCAACATACAAGGAGATAAACAGACTAATCAGGCGGAAATCCACTGCACCACGCCTAGTGATGCAAACGCAAGCCAATGCGCAACGGCAGCATGTGCATATATCACTATGGACGAGGAATCCAATTTGATAATGGGTAAATTAAAACTCTCATCAATAAAGACGACAATGACAATACCGAAGCTAGAAATGAACGCAGTCACATTAGCGGTACGAATGTCGCGGTTCATCTGTGAAGCTCTGAAACCTCTCCGCCCGGTCAAAGAAGTCATCTGCTACACAGATTCGGATATTGTATTAGGATGGATTAAGACACCGCCAAATCGGCAGAGTGCGGGAATCCTAGTAACAAATCGATTGACAGAGATAAGACGGCTAGACAATGATCCGAAGCAGATAAATATAACTTGCCTTTTTGGCCACGTCAAAACGCTCGAAAACCCAGCCGATTGTGGATCAAGAGGACCCACAGCAGAAGCACTGCAGAACCATCAGTGGTGGAGAGGACCATTCATAGCCAAGCCAGACTACACTCAACTCAACACAGTAGCAAGCAGTGAAGACACAACAACGACGTCG